CACACACACACACACACACACACACGGTCCCCATGCCAACCGGCCAACAGACTGAATATTTTCAGGAGTGTGTAAGAACCAAAGACTAGACCCTGCACGTCTGAGGAAACAGCAGCATGAGTTAACTATAAAAAAGTTTCCTGTTTTTGTTTTTTAAATCTAAAAACTGTTAATTCATTTAAAACCGTCGTCACGTGTTTGAGATGAGAACGACTCGGACTTTCACCTGGACTGAACATCAAACTGGTTTCTAGACGTGGGAATAATTAAACACACTTCCTGTTACTCATGGCTTCAAGCGTCAGAGATGATGAAGAGGAGGAGTCCTACCTGTGGCGGTGCTCGGGTTTACGTCTGTCAGGCCGACCTGGGAGGAAGAAGAAAAAAAACACTTTAGTCATCAAAACTCTTCGCCTCCTGAGGGAAACGTTTCTGCTAAAAATCTACTTTTATTTCTTGTTATGAGATTATAAAAGCAGAGAGGCGATGGCGTGCAACAAAAACATCACAAAACATTTCAAAAAAGAATAAAAGTAACCTTTTTTCATATTTGAACACTTCATAAACACCAGAACTATCATGACTCAGCAGAATAAAACCCTTCTATACAAACAGATGTCTCCTGCATGTTTATCTTGTTTACCTTTCAATACGAGCAAAATCTGTGAGCAAAATATCTCAAAAACAACATGAAACAATTAGCAATCATTGATGCACATCTACAGCTTAAAGTCTTTTTTATTGACAACATGGTTGTGGTAGTAGCTGAGAGTAATAGACAGTAACAAACATGAAGAATCCAGCTGTTGTTTAAATGAAGTCAAGTTTAGATTAAATCAGATTAAAGCTGAAAAAAAGACAGCTTGTTTGATGCTAAGCTAACATGAATGCTAACCTAATGTCACATTATCTATGGGTTCTTATTTCTTATTTTACATTAAAAACAGGTCTGTCAGAACAAAAAAACAAACATCTAAAGAAAAAAACTGTTTTGAGCAACAAACCTGTGATTAAAAAGATTAACTTTGTTCTGCTAGAATCAAAAACTCATTGTACTGTTTTTTTCTTTTTTTAACCTGTCGATTATTAACATCTGTTTATAAACTGTGTGCAGTAATTATTTTAGTTTCTCTCTAAATCAGGGGTGGGCAAACCTGGTCCTGGAGGGCCGCAGACCTGCATGTTTTATTTTTTTTCTCTGCTCAAACACACCTGATTTGAATGAATGGGTGATTATCAGGCTTCTGCTGTACGGAGGACCGAAACTGACATAATTAAAAATAAAAGAGGATAAAACCTGCAGGGCTGCGGCCCTCGAGGACCAGGATTGCCCACCCCTGCTCTAAAGTTAACACAAACACATGGAAGTGATGAATCACTGCGAGGATCTGCCAACTCATCCCTCTGCTGCTACTTTTACCTCAGGTTTAAACTAATTTAACCACTTTTCTGTAGAACTGGGAGACAAAAGAAGCAACATTAACAGAAAGTACATGTAAACAGTGAAAGGAGGTGAATGTTACAATCGTTTATATCCAACATGTAGCAAGAAGAAACAAGATGACAGCAACAAACAAACCGTGATGGATTTATAGATCCACTAACTTCCTGTCTCACATTTTCAAAATAAACTAAAGAAAATGAAAGAAGAGAAAAAGTAAACTAAAATGACTTGACCTTTTCCTTAGAAAAGATGGATTTTTCCATTCCTTACCTTCTTGTCTCTCCTCTTCAAAAGTCCAACTCTCAACCAGGTCAGACTGAGTCACTCTGAATCAGACTAAATGTCAGAAAATCAAACTTCTTCCTCGTCTTTTTCTGCTTTTCTAAAACCTGAAAGTTATTTTCTTCACTTTTCTGTCCCCTTTCTTCTTTTCCTCCACTCTCTCTGACACTCCGGACCGCCCACCCCCTCAGACCAGCTTCCTGATTGGCAGAGAGCATCCAGGAAGTGGGGCTGTGATTGGCTGGTCTGGGATTCTGCTGGAGTCATCAGCGTTTGACCACTTCCAGATGTTTTTCCAAAAAAATAAATAAAAAAAGAGCTGGAGCTGCGCGTATAAACCACGACTCAGCATATTTTACTCAGAGCTCGTCATCCGTAGGGTTTCCTTTTTGGAACCAGGAGCTCTGAGGTCACGGGTGAGAGGGCTGGTTCAGATAAATCCATGAATAACTATATTTTTCCTCATGAAAATGTCAATATAATCAACTAGAAATATGAGAAAAAGTAAAGAATTTTCTAAGTATTTTTTAAACGTTCAGAAGCATCCAGATTTATTAAAACAACTTAAAACAGGATTTCGATGTAAAAAATCCTAATAAATGCCTTTAAGTTGCAATGGAAAACATACTGATGTAAGAATAGGATTTATTAAAAAGCACAAAAAGTGCTTTTTTTAAATTTAGTCAAGCAAAATGTAAAAAAAAATAACAAGAACATGCAATAAAATATAAAACACTTTAAGCCAATTAAAAGGATGAGGAGAAATTTTAAAGCAGAAGTTTGTTTATCACCTGCTGAGATTGAGGAAAGATTCTGTGAGATGTTCTCTGTTGTGAAAGACTCTCAGCTACTACCATGTCCACTTCAGCTTAATGCCTGTCAATCTGATGGACCAACATCCATTTACGTGTTTTCTTGAATTGGTTGGCTGTCGACCACCTTGAATTGAAATGTCTCCAAAAGTTTACCAGTTTTGGAAAGGCATCCATTATTTATGAAAGTTTTATTAAAATCTAGTGATTCATGAGATTTTTTGCTAACAGACACAACAATTGTTGCCATCATTTCAAAATGAGGATTAAGTCAAATTTGGTCAAAATAACCTAAACACATTTTCAGATTCTGGGCTTTAAGAGCTACATTTTGATACCTGGATCAATCTGATGTCATAATTATTATATTATATATTATTACATTTGGTCTGAATCCTGGTTTTATGTAATTTCAATGAGGAATTTTTTACACCATTAAAAAGAGGAAACCTCAAATACTATTTGATTGTTTAGATTTCCCAGCTTGGAAGAAACAAAAACCTTGCTTAGCTCAAAGGGAAAATCTCAAAATATTAAGACGTTTTTCCTCAAAATATGTTTTTTTTGCTAATAATGAAAAAAAATCTTAGGATTATATTTCAGACAATTCACTCAAAAAGCATTTATTTGTTTTTTTTAATGCAATTTCTGCAAACGTTTTAATCAAAACCCTATACGTGCTTATTTCCCTACTTTTAGATATGTTTCAATGTGACTCATGTCCACTTTAGCCTGTTGGGTTTGTCATTAACCAGGTAACACACTTCAGACTTGTTGATTTCCAACACTGGCTGACCATAATGCCTTAACGTTTAGTTTTGACACGTTTCTGTTAGCATCGACGCTAATCTTCTGTTGGATAAACACAAAATGAGGCTGCACGTTTCTGTTAGCATCGATGCTAATCTTCTGTTGGATAAACACAAAATGAGGCTGCACTTCCACTTGAAATGGTGGATTTAAAAAGTTTTCATGGAGCTAACGAGATCCTGTCCTCTGAAAAACAAATTGTGAATGCCAGAAAATTAAAACCAGACAGACGTGATTCCTCTGAGAGCAGAATCACAGATCCACAACCCTCCATGTAAACACTCCCACATGTGTGAATTAATGTTACATGTGTAAGGAAATATCAGAATCATCTTTTGTTGCCTTACAAAATATTCAGGATACTTAAATGATCAAGTTAGAAGAAATTAGAATCAGATAAATCAAACAAATCTGATCACAAGCTGAAAACAGTTAAACGTTTGGTTTCCATTGCTCAACAGCTGAGTCAGACACTTTCTTACAGATCAGCGTGTTCAAATGTCCAACTCATAAAACATTTAGAAACAAAAGACTTGTTAATTTATTAAACAGAGTTGCAGTTTTATCCAGATTAAAAGAAAAAAAAAAAAGACTATGCCAGCCCTCCATCATTTGGAAACTGTATAAGAACATTTCAGGGATTCCAGGGCTGCTTCAGAGCTTTAACTCAAACCAGTTCCTGAAGTTTTGACAGTTAAAGTAACGGCACTCAGCCAGGAAAACTGCTGCTTGATCAGCCCGACGTTTGCTAACAGTCACCAACATTAACAGTAGGGGTGTAAGAAAATATCGATACACTGAAATATCGCGGTATTTCATTTCCCGATACTGTATCGATATTCTAAAGCCCTGTAT